CCTTCATCCGGCATGCGTTCATTCTGTAATGATGGGCAAAGAATCACCGGCGATTTCTGCGTGGCTCTATATGACATCCTCGTCCGTTCCCCAGGTCAATTGGTTCGGTGACTTTCAAATTATAGCAGGCTCTTCCTCGGTCAGGCTTGATGGATCCACCGTCACTTTGCGCGGTATACTTTTAAGACAGACTGTACCTTCTACCAACACGACTGACTGATTACAATCTGATGCAAAAGGGACAATATCTCGTCGGTCTATCAGTTAAAGTTAAATATTCAGCACTGGCAGGGACTACCTCCGTCCAAACCCTCGAGTCATCCGCGGTGCCGGGAGGTGCACGGCGGCGATCAGATGAACGACCACGGCGGCAAGCACGGCGGCGATCAGATGAACGACCACGGCGGCAAGCACGGCGGCGATCAAATGAACGACCACGGCGGCAAGCACGGCGACGATCAGACGAACAACCACGGCGGACCGACCCCGCGGCACCGGCCGCTCAACCGGTCACCGACGGCTGAGACATCCCGAGGCGCAACCCACAAGGCTACATTGCCAACTGGTCAGCCCGTGGGCCGACCAGAGCGCCACCTGGATGGTACCCATCCGACTGACGGCAATCACCGAGCGACGGGCACCAGATAACGCCCCGAGCCCAAGCAACCAAGCCGACGGCACCACGCCCGCCCCAGGGGCTCCGAAATCGCAACAGGCCTGAGCTGCAGCGCCGCAGGCCCCAGCTGCTGCACCCGAATGCACAAGCGGATGCCGTGCGGAAAGACATGGCAAAGCTGCAGAACGTGATGACGCTGCGAACGCTGCTGCTGCTGTGGCGGCAACGAGGACACCGCGGACGCTGCCGTGTGTCCACCTAAACAACTACGGCAGCACCATCCTGGAAACGACACGCCGAGCTACACTGCCATCTGGTGAGCCCGGGTGACGGTCAGGACCACCACCTGTATCGCATGCGTCCACTTGGCAACCGACAACAGCAACGAGTACCACCAGGTGAAGTCCCAAAGCGTCCGAGCCAAAGCTCAAGTCGCGTCGAATCCTGAGCTGCACCGCAAGCCGAACTGCCGCGGCGAACCGCAAAGGGTGACGCTGCGGAAGCTGATGCCGCGCGGAAAGAGAGCTCATGCTGCAGGACACGATGACGCTGCAGGAACGGATGCTACGCAAAACGGCCGAGGCGGCTGCGAAGGCGAACGCCGCTGCAGGACAAGATGTTGCGGAAACGTGCAAGTAAGGAAGCCACCCAATCAATCGACGGCAGCACCATCCTGGAGGACGAAGCGCCGAGCTACGCTGCTATCTGATCCCTGGTGCGCCCATGTGACGTTCGGGAACGCCACCGGTATCGCATACATCCATCTGGCGGCAGTCAACAAGAACGAGGACCGGGTGAAGCCCCAACGCAACCGAGCCAAAGCTCAACGTCGCGTCGAATCCTAAGCTGCTGTGCCGCTAGCCAAGCTGTCGCACCGAATACAAACGATGAAAGAAATGCCGCTGCGGAAACTGCTGCCAATGCTGCAGGACACGAAGACGTTGCGTAAACGAGTGATGCATGGAATGATTGCCGAGGCTGCAGGACCGATAGATGCCTGGTAGAAGCAAGTGATGTGCGGAATGAAAGCCAGTGTTGCAGGACATGATGACGCTGCAAAAGCGAGATGCCGCGCGGGGATGCCGATGCTGCGGAAACGCCATGATGCTGCAGTAGTGGACGCCGCAGCACGATGTTGAGGGACATGTGGACGAAGGAGAAGCTGCGGGAGCTGATGCTGCAGAATGAAACCGTCGCGGTGCCGTCGCGGAAGAGGAAGTCGTGCAGAGGTGGCTGAGGAACGATGAAGCTGCGGAAGCTGACGCCGCAGAGAGAAACCGTCGCGGTGCCGTCACGGAACAAGAGGTCGTGCCGAGGTGAATAAGGCGCGATGAAGCTGCGGAAGCTGATGTCACAGAGAGATACCGTCGCGGTGCCGTCGCGGAAGAGAAAGTCGTGCAGATGTGGCTGAGGAACGATGAAGCTGCGGAAGCTGATGCCGCAAATGAAACCGTCGCGGTGCCGTCGCGGAAGAGGAAGTCGTGCCGAGGAGGATGAGGTACGATGAAGCTGTGAGACTAATGCAGCAGACAAACACCGTCGCGGTGCCGTCGATCTGATGTCGCCGATAGAGAAAGAGACCGTCGCGGAAGAGGAAGTCGTGCCGAAGAGGTTGAGGTACGACGAAGCTGCGGATACTGATGCTGTAGAAAGAATCCGTCGCGGTGCCGTCGATCTGATGTCGCCGAGAGAGAGAGAGAGACCGTCGCGGAAGAGGAAGTCGTGCCGAAGAGGTTGAGGTACGACGAAGCTGCGGATGCTGATGCTGTAGAAAGAATCCGTCGCGGTGCCGTCGATCTGATGTCGCCGAGAGAGAAAGAGACCGTCGCGGAAGAGGAAGTCGTGCCGAAGAGGTTGAGGTACGACGAAGCTGCGGATGCTGATGCTGTAGAAAGAATCCGTCGCGGTGCCGTCGATCTGATGTCGCCGAGAGAGAGAGAGACCGTCGCGGAAGAGGAAGTCGTGCCGAAGAGGTTGAGGTACGACGAAGCTGCGGATGCTGATGCTGTAGAAAGAATCCGTCGCGGTGCCGTCGATCTGATGTCGCCGAGAGAGAAAGAGACCGTCGCGGAAGAGGAAGTCGTGCCGAAGAGGTTGAGGTACGACGAAGCTGCGGATGCTGATGCTGTAGAAAGAATCCGTCGCGGTGCCGTCGATCTGATGTCACCGAGAGAGAGAGAGACCGTCGCGAAAGAGGAAGTCGTGCCGAAGAGGTTGAGGTACGACGAAGCTGCGGATGCTGATGCTGTAGAAAGAATCCGTCGCGGTGCCGTCGATCTGATGTCGCCGAGAGAGAAAGAGACCGTCGCGGAAGAGGAAGTCGTGCCGAAGAGGTTGAGGTACGACGAAGCAGCGGATGATGTAGAAAGAATCCGTCGCGGTGCCGTCGATCTGATGTCGCCGAGAGAGAAAGAGACCGTCGCGGAAGAGGAAGTCGTGCCGAAGAGGTTGAGGTACGACGAAGCTGCGGATGCTGATGCTGCAGAAAGAATCCGTCGCGGTGCCGTCGCGGAAGAAGAGGTCGTGAAGCTGCGGAAGCTGATGCCGCGGTGAGAGGGACAGTCGCGGTGCCGTCGCGAAAGGAACCGTCGCGGTGCCGTCGCGAAAGAGGTCGTGCCGGTATACGAAAGCGAAAGGCTGCTGCGGAGCGTGACCGTTGCGCAAACAGAAACGCTGCGGAAGCTGATGACGCTTGGAAAGAACGCTTCTGCTGCAGGCCACAACGACGCTACAAAACGGATTGCCGAGCCGCCCCAAAGTAAGGGGATTTAACCCCAGGCCCAAAGAGGGGGGCATTTATGTAAGGTGTGTCGCGGTATGTTTATTAAGGTGTATCGCGGTATGTTTATTTTCGCCCGCCTTTTGGTTTATATAAAATGTAACGCTAGAAATTCGTGTATCGCGGTATGTTCTTTATGTAAGGTGTGTCGCGGTATGCTTATTAAGGTGTATCGCGGTACGTTTATTTTCGCCCGCCTTTTGACATTTAGTTTATATACGATGTAACGCTAGAAATTCGTGTATCGCGGTATGTTCATTTTCGCTCGCCTTTTGACATTTAGGAACACGTCGAGGTCAGCGTAGTCAGAACCGTAAGTCACTGTCGCCCGATCGATTTTAGCCTCAGACCGGGTGACAGGACTTATCCACCTTCGGGCGAGTATATAATCGCAGCGGGGAGTGAGAACGGGGCCAGTGCCTGTACGCCGACCAGGCTGCAACGCTGGACCCGACCTCAACCACGCTGCTGGTAAGCTGGCTCGAAGGTAGGTTCCGACTACGCAGGGATGCTGTGCGGGCTCAAGGCACATCCCATAGATAGGTAGGAGCAAGCGGGTGGAGGGTTAGGTTAGCATGCGTGGCGTTAGGGTATTGTTAGGGTAGATAGCGTTCACGGTTATAGGAAATAGGCTTCGGAAATGATAACGTTAAATCAGCGCAGTCCGTTATGAACACATTGCGAAATTATGAACAATAAAAGGGGCGTTAAATTGACCAGATGCTTTTGGTAACGGGATGAGTCGGAGGAGAACGGTGATTGAGCGGAGTCTAACTTTATCGGTACATTAGTAAAGTCATCAATGGCCAGGAGCTTCACTCCTAAACCCATAAGGGCGCGCTACCAACCGCGGTGTGCCTCAAAATGGCGGAGTGATTCTCACTGGTTCCACGATGCATTGTAACTTAACGTAAAATAGTTAGTATTAGACATTGGGATGTACGTGGCCCGAGTGGCAGTCGGGCACAGGCTGGGAGACGTCTCAGCCTAACACGGACATCATGTAGAGTAGTAGTAATACAATCAGAGGGGAGGCTGCGAAAGGCCAACAGGACCGGCCCGAGCCCCCCTACAGACGCCGCGCCGGTGTCGGTGCCGAGGGCCAGCGCCATCGGGGCGGCAGTCGGCCATGCGCACTCAATGGTTAGCGCTCAGCACCGGCGGCTAGCGCACGCCCGGCGTGTTATCGCCCGTGAGCCGCCCCAAAACGGCTGCAGTAACTGGTCGATAAAGGTAGTAAGCAGATGCAGAGATGCAGGTGGATTGATGACCGGCAAGCTTTTGTGCTTTACGAGGGCGAAGGGTCGAAGTCGCTAGTCGGTTGCTAAGCCGTGAGCGGATTTTGGCAGACGCTGGTTCACTATGACCTTTATCCGGGTCCTGGTCCGCTGACGCACTCTTGGAGAGCCGAATCACAGCAAAACTCCATCCGCGACTGTATCTATACGGCTTACGCTTTTCTGAAAACGTCTGCGTTTGGCCTTCTACGGGCCCGGCCGGCCGGCCGGACGGCCCCGATTGGCGGACCTCCAGTGACGTCACTGGTAGTGTTAAGCTGATTGGCGAATAATACATGGGGAGAACCGGGACAACATCCCCCTGATTGAGACTATAGTGGGCGACCGTTCGGGCTGTTTCCTTCTCAAAGTGATGCCCCGTTCGGGCTTCAGTCGGCGTTCGATTATAAAATCTGCAATGTGAAATGTCTGACCTCATTCCGCGGCTCATCCTAGGCGGATCTGTAAAAAAAACCTGTAGGTAAGAAACCAACGACATACGGAAACTAACTAAGATTAGTAACGTGGTGATCGTGGAGATCATGGATGAAGGAGAACCTTTTCTTCTTCCATGTTCCAGGTTCTTTCATCCATGGTGGAGATAGTCTGGATTGTTTGATTGGTAAGCTTATGGTGAAATTTCCTCGTTTTTCTACGTGATTTGCTTAACTGCGTGGCCCCCCCAGTGACACGATTTCAGCTCCACTGGGGGGGGGGGGCAGCGGCATCACTGGGGGGGGGCCGCGGCCCCCCCAGTTAACATGTTAGAGGAGGCCCTGACACAAAGTAAGAATCCGCTGACTGATTCTAAGCATTTAATTTATCGACATCAATTTTAATTTAGTGGCTGCCTCTTTCAGTTGAAAAGTTTGATCGAATGTAGACAAAACTGGCGTGGTTTAAATGTAACGCGCCATTTTATTTACATTTCATATTTCAATGCCGAATATATATATATCATATTTGATGCAAAGTTGAAAGCCAAAGTGGTACTCGCTGCCTGGGTTTCGGATATTAATATTTATTATCATTTCAATAAATGTATTATGTAGACGGTGAATATCTCATGTTTTATTTCAGCATCTGATGAGCTCTGTCACATCCATAGATATACAGTCACATCTCAATGTGAGAGCTCGGACAGATATGTTGATGTAGATCATTTGTAAGTGCTTGGTCTCAGTCTGGCTCAGGCCTCAAAGATCTCAAATCATGTCTGAAGACATACTGTTGGTGCTCAGCATATTTGAAGGCAAGTGAGATGAGAATGGATTAATTACATTTGTGACTTATCCATTGATATGATATACTGTGTGTTTTAGTTTATGACTGAAATATTCAACTTTTATTGCTGGTTATTCACACAAAATGTAAAACACAGCGTAATGGCCAACTTGTATTTATCATGGTGTTGGTGTGAATAGTGTAAATCAGGTAACTTATTTTTTAATAGCATGTGATATTTTCACCTTTATATCCAATTTACATAATTTTTTGCTCGCATTTTTGTACTTAAAGTGATGTCAATTATGCATGTTGCTCTGAAACATTAACCCAAGCCCGCCCGTGCCCCAGGCCGCCACCTGCCATCACCACCGGGCTTCAGTGTACTAGCGGAGGCCAAGTTTGATTACCAGATTCTGCAGTCGGACCCTGTGCCGCTGACCTCACAGCCAGACTTTAACACTGAGCTGGTCTGGGAGACAGACAGGTGAGATGTGAGATACAAGAAACTGATAGGTGGAGAGGTGAAGCATAGAAATGAGAAACTGAATGCTGGGCAATGTTGTTGTGGAAGACAAACATCTGGGAAGGGTGAAGAGGTACTTAGGATGCATGTTGATTGAAGACATCTTTTGAACAAGGGGGAATACTGGAATAGAGACAGAACATACTAATACAGGGAATGGGATGAGAATGAGTTACAGTTATTTGTGACAAGAGTGAAGTAGGTTGGGACTTAGATTAACCCGGCAGGCGGTGGGCCTACCAGCCACCTTCCGCGCGGTGGGGGGGGGGGGGCACTTTTTTGCCCCCCCCCCCCCCGTATCTCCAAAACTACTGGACGGATCCGGAAAATTCAAACGGCGTTCGATAGCCCTGTCAAATTTGTTGAGGGAAACCAAATTTCATTGACCTCGGGGTCACCGATGACGTCACAGGTCAGGTCAAAGATAAAATGTTTCACCGTTCACGGGGCTTCTAGGGAAAGCGCTATAACACCAAGTAAAACGCATTTTGTCGAAAATCAGCGATAAGGCGTCAGTTGTCTAGTACATATGTTGCTATTAGAGGTCACTGGTCATACCAGGTCAGGTCACAGGTCAGGTCACCAAAGGTCACCAAGGGTCACCACATGAGCCCAACTTTACTAAGGTTATGCGATGCATGTTTTATGGCCAGTTTTTCATTTCCAACTCAATGGTGTTGGTTATAAGACCATCAGGTACGGTTTATGTCACTTTCTGGTGGAGGTCAGGTCAAGGTCAGGTCAAAAAAGGTCAAATTTCAAAGTTGATATTTTTGCATAAAATCGGTATCGATTCGATGCAGCTCGTCACGGGGAGTCTAATGGTGGTCTTTGTTTTGCGCTACAAGGTCTAGAATTGCTAAAAATTGAGTTTGAAAATTTGACGTCATCAATTTTGAACAGTTTTTCGCTATAACTTGGCCAAAAAAAGAGGTATCGATCTCAAATTTGGTATGTAGATAGAAGGCGGTAGGGGATATCACATATATTCCGTTTTTTTTTCGAAATTCAAAAAAACTTTTTGAATTTTTAGGCTATTATATTCGAAAAATCTATTTTTTTATTTTTGGGGGTCAAAATAAAAAAAATTCGAAAAACCGAAATAGCAATTTGTAGCCCTCTTAATTCCACACCTTTTATGTCTGAAACATTTTTCTGTATCTCTAAAGCTGTAGGCCTGACAGCTCTTCCCGCGAAACCTTTTTTTGGGTCGAAAATGGCAAAAATGACGTCACTCTGACGTCAATAGCGGCCAACCTATCATAGCCTTTGGAAAAATTTTTGGTCACCATGTGCGCTAGCTGCTCCCGGTAGGGTACTGAAAGTTTGGTGACGATCGGCGCAGCGGTTCTCGAGATATATCGAAAAAACTAAAGGGGGGGCAAAAAAATGCCCCCCCCCACCGCCTGGAAGGTTAACCCTAGAACGCCTAGGGGGGGGTTGTATCAACCCCCCCCCCCTGAGGTTTTTTCGAAGTGCACGCTAAACGGCTTGTCGTAGCGGGCTGAAATTTTCAATACCCTTTGGGGCAACCTTTGCGCATCTTTTGCCGAAAAAAAATTGATCGGGTCATGTCAGGTCACGGAGTTATGACGTCATAAGAGGTACAGCCTCCGGCCGACAGTTACCAAACGTGTGCGCCGAATCCCTAGGTTTTCTGCCGGTGATACCCACATTGTTTGATGGATCATGATGAAACTTCCCATGCATGTTGGGGCAAGCATTGGCTATCGTGTGGTGCAAGAAAATTGACCGGGTCAGGTCAGATCACGGAGTTATGACGTCATAAGAGGAACAGCGTCCGGTACTATTTTTGAAAAGCGCCCGAACCACTATTTTGCTAATTCTTGTCACCTCAATGGGAATATGCAGCAATATTAGCTTCTATAGGGAGCAAATGGACCTCCCAAATCCGAAAATACAATCAGATTTCAAAAATTTAAATTTTGATTTTTCGAATTTCTGCCGCCGACTGTGACCTTGCCGACTTCCGGCGCTCCCAACGCGCCATTTTTAGAGCTAGGGAAACGAAATACATACCAAACGATAGAGAATTGATCAAGGAACACGATAGTGAAGATTTCAAGTCGATATCTCTCACCGTTTTGCCGCAATCGCCGCGGAAAGTTGAAAAAAGTCGATTTTTCCGAAAATTTGACCTTTGACCGGTCAAAAGTAGGTCAAATGTTGACCTAGGACCAAAAAATATACCACCAATCGCGAGATCTCGTTGAGAGCAATCCGTTGGTTTTTTCCGCTAAGCTCTACGACCTTCCGTTTCGAAACGCCAGGGGGGGGGGTCGTAACAACCCCCCCCCCTGGTCGTTCGTGTTATGAGAAATGGCCTGGTCGTGCGAGGGTTAACAGTTAGGATGATTAGTAAAGTAATCTTGGTTAGGATAGCTGTGTTCATTGGAACCAAAGTTTCATTTAGGACTGGATAGTGGATTGATTGGGGAAAGTTTGTTGGGATGATGTCCAATGTTTTAAATGGACAAACTAAGAAAGCCAGAGCCCTGAAATGGCTGAAAGTGAACCTTTATGCATCTGCATTGTGATCTTCTTCTGAACCATCAGCTGTGCTGTCTGATCAAGAAATTATCACTTGACATTTTCTTCCAAACTTTGCTGTCTCATCAGTAATTTTTTTATTCTCAGGGCTCATGGGCATTGAAATGTCAAAGCTCAACCTTCTGAGGGCTCACATCATTAGTTACAGTCTAATCCACTCATTATGTCTTTGTCTTGTAGCAGCTGCCCTTGCCATTCACAGACCATCACCTACCCATCAGGAATCTCACAGATAAAGTGCTGAAACAACTCTAGCCTGGGCTGCTACCAGCTGAGAGTCCATTGCTTCATCTCACCTGAACAATGAACAATTTGATACCAGTTGATAATGAAGCCTTATGCTGAGCCACCTTGGGCTATTTTAGCCCTGCCATGTCTGCTTTAGTGTCTGACACAACATCATAGGAATACATGCACCAACCATGGCTCTCCCAATAATGACGAGCCTATTCTCCCCACCACAGGAAATCTCTGCAACAATACCGCATGCACAAGAGCCCCGTCAAGGTGGAGTTCTACGCGAGTGCCGATGGCTCCACCGATCTTCGCCAGCTGCTTGGCTATGTGGTGCTCGACACCCGCTCTGCCCGTGAAAAAGCGCCCGGCGCTGATGTGAGTTCTTCGTACCGCACATAGTAATTGTCCCAGCGGCCAGCTGCTGATCTGGCAGTATCATGCCTACCTAATGCAAGTTTTCTGGTTTTACTGTCGCACATAATGTAGCTACACCAACTTTGCCATACCGCTAACCCGTTTCTTATTTGATGAACGAAATTAATGCACTGTTTCTGGTTTATGACTATGTTTAGTGATCTGTTATGCTTGTACTTACTGGACATTGGCCAATGTGTGTTTGCATTCCTCAGGCCGAGGCCAAGTGGCATCGCATGTTGGGCTGCCGTCCCAAGTCGCCCCAAGAGCTGCCGTCGGTCCAGTTGGGTCTCAGTCTGGAGCCAAACCTCGGACCGCCGCCGGGAAACAGCGTCCTCGCCGAGGGCACCATCGATGTGAGTGTGGGATCTTTAGAAATGCTGTCATTATTGTTTGTCCTTATTATCCATTTTGTATAACACATGGCTCATGACAGTCCATGGATAAAATCGCTCTAAACGGCTTGAGTCTTCAAGCACATAGTTAAGCACCAGTTTCATGTCTCACTAAGAACTAGTTATAAGAACTCTCTGTAATTGGTTAACTTTTCCACACTCCAGCAATTCCCCTATGTGCATACTAAACCCCTGCACCCTCTCGTCACCAGCTGGCTGAGACCACTAGCAGCGCGCCGGACGGTGAGCCGGAGCAGCGGTACCAGGCCGCGGGGGACAGCCTGCTGGACCGCGACCTCTCCTCCCTGGCACACTCCCCGCCCACCCGCGGTCCCTCGGGCCACCCAGCCGGTCGGCCCGCCGCACCGCCGTCCGCGCCGCCGCTGGTACCGGTACTGGATGAGCGGCTGGGCTGCTTTCAGCTGGGCCCGCCGACCGGCCCTCAGGAGATGTTCAAACTGACGGTGATTGTGGTGTATGCGCAGCATCTGCAGCTGGTGAGTTTGGTCAACGACTACTTGTGGTGATTGGTGTGGGCCTTTTGTTTCTCGTTGAGCTGTGAATGTTACCACCAGTATAACGCCTTTTGGGGCGACTAACGGAGCGAGCGAGAGGGTGGGCCTTGCACGTTTGAAATAGCGAGGGGGTACCTCCAACTGACTTGTGCACGGCACCCTACTAACCGGTCCCTAACTGTGTACCAAATTTGAGCGCAATCGGTCGAGCCGTTCTCGAGATCTGGAAACGACCCCTGCACGTGCGCACGTGCAGCAGCACCCTAACTCTGGCACGTGGATATGTAGTGCCTAGTGGGTGCCTACCTACATGCTAACTTTCAGCGCAATCGGCCAAGTAGTTACCGAGATATTGCAACAATTACAAAACTGACACCTCTTCGTTTTGCACGTGGCACGTGCATAAGGGGTCACCCACATGCATCAGGAATAGTCCAATACTTGGTAGAAGGAATGAAGCTACCCTACAAAAATTACCGCATGTAAATCGGTCAAGTGGTTGCTGAGATGTAAGCCTCGCAAAAGCGTCCGCACGGCCGGCCGGCCGCTCATACTCAGAAATTTCCGTTAATCTAAGGAAAGATAGACTCCGCTCGCTTCGCTCGCTCCGTAATTATCCAGGATGTTGTTTTGTTGTTAATGTAGGTGTAGGGCCAGGAGGGATGTTGAGATGTTTCGGAGGGTCGGTAGCCAGGTAGAATCTGTACCTTTTTGGCTTAGCCTTTTTGGTTTTTAGCTTACCCATCAATTCCAGCGTGAACGCCATGTTTTTATTTCGCAGCTGATTCCTCCCGGAGTGGACCTTCCCAGTAGTTCCGGGTTCAACTTCTACTACAGCCTGCTCAATTGTGATATTTGCACAGAGCCCTTCCACAACATCGTTCAGGTGGGTACCAGCTGTTTGTCATGGTCATGGCGTCGAGCGGCATTGTGACCTTCCTATAAGCCGTAAGGTAAGGCTACTGATTTTCCATAACCGTTTTCCACCTTTGTTAATGCTAGAGCGAGTTGTGATTTTAGCTTAACTTTGTGTGTTTCTTCTTTATTCATAATTAAACCTATCCCGGTTCGGCGTTGACTTTGGTTTCTTGCGTGGCCACTGGCTACCTCTGCCGTCCCCATGACCGTCGCCTTCCACAGGCTGGGTGGTAGGCGGACTTCGACATGGAGATCTAGTTGACGTCTGTAATGTCCGTTAAACTCCCATCACCAACAAAGTGGCGGTGGCCCAGTATTACTGACCTGCTAATGACCTCTGTTTCACGTTCAGCAGTCGTTCCTAGCGGAGCGGTAGGTGTCCCAGTAGTACTGAGCCGGCCAGTGTTGACCGGTTATGGCCTGTTGCTCTCTTGCAGCCGTCGTTTTTGGCGGAGCGGGCGGTGACACGAATCCGATGTCGTCTGCCGGTACTCCGTCAGTACTTGGAGCAGTTGGAATCCATCGACTTCCACCTCTGCTGTGGCGACCTCAGTCTTGGTTAGTGGCTTTACTGATCGGTGATCCGAGCTTTTGTCGGTAATGTAATATGGTAAAACGACGGTTACCGAGTTAGTTTTATTATGTCTGATAGAAACCTGTGTAAGATGCACGTCTATGCAGAGGTATAGCAAACTGGGATGAAATCGCCTTGTAATGCATGCCGTTTTCATTCAGCCTCAAATTTGCTGCAAAAGTTAATTTTTGTTATCGGTCGCTAACGTCCACTCATCGTTAGAGCCACCGCGACTTGTCATTTCGACACTACCGTACCCTTCCCCTGACCGAACTGAACCATCGGCGCCGTGTTTTATCATCCGCAGCTGTACTGGTTCCCCATACCACTCACGGTCTGTGGTTTAATGTGGCAGTATGTGCTCTCCGCAGGCAGTGCGGCCGTGCCCATCAGCCCGTTCGCGTCCGACCTGGCCGCGCTACCGTCCAAGCCGCTAGTACACGAGGCGGCCCACCCTCTGGTCTCCTCTCTGAGTGGACGGGTCCCGCGTGACCCGTCGGGCACCCACGCCCCGGCCGTCGGTATCACGGTGGAGCTCACACACGCCCGTGTCAGTGGGGACGGTCAAAGCCAGCTGAGTGGGGGTGACGCCACGCCGCGCGAGGTCCCGCCGGCTACCGCTGCTGCCGCCCCGCCGCCGCCGCCAGCGCCGCCTGTTGACAGTACGATAGAGCTGGATGACACGGCGGCGACCACAGATGGCGCGCGAGTGGATTCGACGCTCGCTCTGGATACGAGCGGCCTCAGCAGCGATGCTGGGTAAGTGTGTGGGAGGGGGGGGGGGGAGAGAGAGATGGTGGGGATACCACGGTGGGCAAGAAATGGCTTGAGTTTTCAGCAGTCCGTCTTTGTGATGATGCACTTGCTGCTCATTGCTCGTTTGTGTCACTGACGGTCCTTTGCTGCACATGATTAAGGCTACTTATGTAAACCAGAGTGTAAGGCTGTAGGTGCTTGGCAACGTGGTCGTGTTCTTGAGCCCCGATTCGTTTTAATCGTATTTTGGTGGGAAGGTAATGCTTAAGCGGACTGCTAAGATGATGTAATCGTTTAAACGTTAGATTGATTGTGGACAAACTTAAATGTACCAGCGCCATTAACAACGAGCGGACTTCCTGGCTTCATTTACATATAGAAAGGATCCCTCACTATGATTTCTCTTTGGTTCCTCTTAGGTCCCCATCAAGTTACGTAATGGTACCCAGTGGTCTTGTTTTCAGCACTGTATAATTGCCCAACTTCATCCATATGCTACTAATCCTTTCGTCGCTGATCAATATCGAGACCGTTTACTATCGTTTCTTATGTACCTTCGAATTGCTTCACCAGCACCCCATCCTTTCATGCCGTATACCATTAGCCCACCATCATCCGGCCCTGATGGCCCTGTCACCCCCCGCCGGGCTACCGTATTCCATTATCGACCCGCGCAAATCCGGGGCCGCACCTGCCTGTCGGTCGGGACCCATTGAAGACTGTTCTACCGTTGCGACGGGTGATCGTTCCTGAATACATGACTAGGATATGACGGGGTCGATTGGACTTTTGGATATGTAAACGTTCTGTCGTTAGAGGAGCTGGAAGTTTGCTGTGTTATAGCGCGCTACTTCATCGTTTCCGGCGAGAAATATGACTGTGATAACGTCTGTCTTCTATTTGACACATGCATTTGATATACATTCTCATCGGCACTAACTATTCCGGTACTAAAGAAGGAGTATCATGAGAATCTCATCTGATGTCGGGTGTATCAGTGTTGCAATCATTTATATCGCGTGTTGTACATCGTCCCAAGCCACTGTAGGGCAACTGACCAACCAGTAACGACCAAGTCGTCATCCCTCCTGCCGCTGGTCGGCAAATAAGTACCTTCCCGCGGAGCCATTGATCGCTATACGCCGGTGTATTCCGCCATCCACGTGGAGACGGCTACGTCTGTAGGCGTACCCCGCACCGATCGATCCTTGCGGGCGTGACCGCGGCTCCGGACACTGCACGTGCACATACGGCGGCCCGGCGACCGGGTGGGGATCGATCCTGGGAGGGCGGGGAGGGGAGGGTTCACCCAGCTGACCGCTGCTGCTGCCGCCGGCAGGTCCCCGGAGGTGGCCACTGTGCGTCGTGCGGCTCCCGCGGCTCCTGTGGCTCCTGCGGCTCCTATGGTTCCTGCTGCTGCTGCTGCTGCTCCTCCGTCTGCTGCTCCGTCTGCCACGAATCCTGCTCCTGTCACCGCAGCTCCCGCTACTCCTCGGTCTGCCGCCGAAGAGATGACTGATCGGGCGGGTGCTGAAGACTCCCGGTCTCGCCACTACCGCTGTGTGCTGGATCTGCGGGAGCTGTGTCTTCAAGAGCCCAGCAGGGGTCGTGCCGTCCTCAGGTGAGGCGCAGAGGAAAGTTTCACGGTGATCGGTCATCAACTATCTCAGTAATTTGCAGGTGATTGCCTATTATGTTTATGTGGTAGTTAAGTGAGTTCGAGCAGCACATATGGTACTTTTGTGCATTACTGGTCATCGTACGATGCACTTAACTCTTTTTTACATGAACCAATATATCATCCATTGTTTGTAAGTAAAACGAAGATCAACGATAGTGATATTCGTCACTGTATGCTAGATAGTGCGCCTTTAACCGATTACACCGTGCATATTGTAGAGCAAGTATGATGGTTATCACTCTGCCTCATAAATGTTTTATCGAATCATGGTGATGCTTTCACGATATGACGCGTGATTAGCGCGAAACGGTAAAGATTAACGCGAAGAAATGAACACTTGTCGTTTGATTGCCCTTAGCTGGGTCGTCTTGTCGTCCCTTATGCGGGTACTATTCGGTGGCAATTATGGAAGCCTTGCTCGAACCTAAATTTCTATTGACGTCATTCGGCAGCGACATTGTCCTGCAGTTATAATGCAAATGACAAGACATGACTGGCTAACTGTCCGATACGGGCCTCGGTCATTTTGAACGCTTCAAATCATTCACTGACGCCTATTTCGTGGTGTAGTTTCATTTCCCCACATTCAATATTCGCTTATATTGTGCGCCGTGTTCTGCCGCTACTGACACATCCCCACACGACGTTTCTCAGGTTCACGTACCCGCACTTTGGGGACCAGTCGCAGCTGAGCTCGGGTGCCGTGCGACTGCCGTGTCGTCAGGCGGCCACCGTCCCTCGCGGCATCTTCGAGTTCAACTTTGCCGCCACGGCCGGCTGGCTGCGTGCCACCCTGCGCCGGTTCCCTGTGGTGGTGCGGGCCGAGATGGAAGGGGGACAGGTGCTGGGCACGGCACACGTGCCCCTGCATCCTGTCCTGCAGCAGAAACGTGTGTACACCACGGTACGTGCCCCTGGTGGGAGCCCGCTCGGGGTCGGAGCTCGGTGGATGAAAACATCCCTTGAACGCCTTCCTTAGAAAGTCACGTGTATATGGAAATGAGGTTGTTGCCTAAGGTTGATAATATGGCCAATGACGTATTCTCTCGTTATTTTCTTATCACCCGTGTCGCCCCCAAACCCCAAGCTTGTCATATATTCCAGACATGCTGTACCGCTTGTGATTTCACGCTCACGCTACACGATTCTGGTTAGGTTCTAATCCCGGGCTATTGTGAAATGACCACCGTGTTTGATGTTTGGAGCATTTCTCCCCTTTTCACCACTTTGTCCCTGTGCTGTTTGGGTCCCTCACTGTACCGCTAACCAACCCTCCCATCCGTCCATCGACAGTCATCACTGGGCGTTCGCGGCTTCCAGCAGAATCACTACAGCGTCACCGACGTACTGGACACGGCCGGCGCCGTGGTGGGCGAGCTCACAGTGGCCATGTCGCTGGACGACCTGGGTGAGGTGGCCGATCCCCCGCCTCCTCCGCCGACACAGCTGCCGAGGGCGACAGGGCCGACGGTGGCGCCGCCAGACGACCGCGACGAGAAACTCGAGCGGGACATGTATGCGGCGGCACGAGAGCTCGAGGAGTGGAAACAGGAACAGAAGCTGCTGTTCCAGAATCAGGTACGGAGCGGATGCGGCACCATGCTGATAATGAATTCGATGGTGTGCTCTTCTTTAACAGGCCGTAAAAATGGACGTTAAAGGCATTTTGTCTTCTTCCCGTAGTTCGACAGCTTTATGCTTTATCCATTGTGTGTGCTCCTCCCTCTGCTGGTCCAACAAGCCTTAAAGGTGACCTAAAACAAAACACGGGGCGACATACATAAAAATGTATTGTATATCATCCAACTCTCAATGTTAATGTCTTTAAAATACTGTCAATAATTGTCCACGTCATTCACTGAAAGCCACTCTGCACATTTCGAACTACTTTGTCCCCCAACAGGCTAGGCTGCTCAACATTTTGCTAGGCTGCTCAACATTTTACCTACAGTTGTGCTGAAGCAGTATCACACCATTTCTGACTTGCTGACTGTAGATCAGTCATGTAGCTCCTCGCCCCAGGCTGCTGGTCCCAGCGACGCCTTTTCACATAGGCACCGTCGTGGTCGGGGGCTTGGTGGTCGTAGTGGGAGGCTCAGTAGTGGTAGGAGCCTCAGTAGTTGTCGGTGCCTGAGTCGTCGGAGCCTCAGTAGTCGTAGCTTCCGTCGTCGTCGCCTCGGTCGTGGTCGGCTCTGGGAGTTCATCCATCTGACAGACGAACCTGGTGTAGCCCTCGACACAGTCCGTGGCTCGCCACTCTCCCGTCGAGCCGCGGTTGATGAGGCCGCACAGCTCCCCCTCGGCGGCCGGCTGTCCCTCCTTCCAGTGGCTCCAGTCGAACGGCGTTCCGTCGGCCCAGTACCACGGCTGGTCGGTGCCCGCCCGCCGCAGGCCCAGCCAGCCGTTGTCATACTTCAGAACGTGCTCGGCGAGGAAGGAGTTGACGGTCAGAGAGTGCACAGAGACGGGCGTGGAGCCGGGGAACGCCCAGGCGCACACGCTGGCAATCGAACGCCACTCCAGGTGGAACGGGGAGCGCCAGTAGCACTTGCCCTCAAAGGCGTGCCACTCACTGGATGGACAGACAGCGCTGGCAGCGGCTAGCGCCGCGCACAGAGCGGCAAATTGGAGTAGCACCTTCATAGCGCACGGCGTGTGGGAGGTCGGACTAGGTAGAAAGGAGGCCGATTTTGCGGCTTATAAAGCGTGGTATCTGTGTAAATTAGGTGGTATGTCGTCTGGCCATGGTGCGTCGTGTGTGTGTCAGAGATATCGGGCTCGGTGCGTGCCGTTATCTATCGGTCCACGCGTGACGGTGGTTCTCGCGAGAAATGGCCATCTGTTCAAGTCACGTGATTAGAGCGTTTCGCACCCGGACATCGCCTAGAGACAGCCGATGGAAAAATTGGTTTCCGGTCACATGTATTGTTTACTGTAGCTCGTGAAACAAGGCAAACAAGCATCTTATATTATGTTACCTTATAGATAATGTAAGCGTTGTCTCAATCGCTTTGTTGACATCAACTTTTCATCAGCATTTTATTTTTTGCTCGTCTTATTCACTTTCATTTATATGCAACCTGAACAGAGTCGAAATTAATCAGGATTTTTCTGTAAATTGATTCAATCCCACTCCGCCCATTCCATTGTTACTTTCCTTGACCTTCAATAATGACCGACCTTCAGGCCAAGTGCCCTGAAGGTCGGCTGCTATGACCCTCCATAAAATGGAGCAGTTAGCAGTCCAGACTGCCCAGTAATATGATTGATCGCTCTGGATGGCTTTGTTACAAAGGGTCACCGCGGTACTCGGCCATTCTGCACGGACTAATCGCGGTCAATGGGTAGGACACTGCTTGGTGTGTTATGTTTTGAGCGTCTTAGGATAGCTGCACATGGTGGACACTGGACACGGGTGTCTTCCTCTGTAGAGTATAACAAGTATACCAATACTCCATCGGACGATATGAAGATGCGTTTTCATTTTCTACTTTTTTTGTAGCTTCCACATTTCCGTATGCCAGTTACGCAAGTGACTTTGTTGTCTAGCGAGTAGGCTAGATGACAAATGTATACCATGTAAAATGGTATAGCATCTCCATGCTATACCTCTAGCAAATGCTCTAGGTATCCATGGCCATCCTGCCAAATCCGTTTTTGGCTTTTGTTTGAGAATGATCGTCTTGAGTGGCCATTTAACATAAATACCCCAACTTCTTGGAGAATACCTCCTCGCCGGTCAACAACGCTTTCACTTCATCTGTGTCTCACAGCTCCAGCAGCGAGAGGCGTCTCACCTAGCCATTCTCACCGAAGAATGGAAGCGTCGGGACGCCGAGCGGGAGCTGCAACTTCAGAACCGACTCCGGGAGGCAGTGGCGCTGGAGGATAAGTTACGGGGAGGACTGACGGCGCTGGAGGAGCACCAGCAGCGGCTGGAGCAGCGCGAGGAGGAGGTAAGATCGTGGGATGGGAGGAGGAGGAATGGTTGGGAGAGGGAGTCACGAGAGGACAAGCTGGTGATAAAGTGGGAGGATTGGATGTGTGTGAGGATATAGAGTTGTGAGAAAGTTTTGAGAGATAGTGGAGTGATAGTGATGCGTCAGTATGTGGTGATCTGAGAGCTGGATAACAGGAAATGTGGGAACGGTGAGAGGGGTCTCGAGAGTGAGATGCTAGTTATATGGAGATGTGGAAGAGGAAAGAGGTGAGACAGAGAGGTTAGAATTGATGACTGGGGATCCCACGGAAACTGTGAGGAGAGATGATAGCACAACGGAGGGGGGGGGGGGGGGGGGAGGATGGAAGAATACGATGGTGGTCAGAGCCATAAGAGGAAGGGATGCTAAAATGGATGATGAAAGCAACGAACGTCTTAGCGTATGGCTGACACAGCATTGCCTGTTTCCTACACTAGTTGAACGCCCTATTTCCTTGTGTGAAAGAGATTCGTGTATGATTGCAAGCTAAGCCAGACATCTGGTTGCTGGATTGCTCTCGGTTTGATTAAAGTTCTCTATGAGACGCCCCGGATAATATTTGTGTTAATCTCGTCCGCCTCCGTCCGGTGAACTTTGTCTGAATGCCAAGAAACGTCTGTAGGCTGAGATTACATTCGACAATGGGATTACGAATATGAGCGGCGGGACAGCGCAGTACAACCCACGCACGCCAGAGATGATTCAAACGTGCTCAACGTGGGCTCTAGAACGACGCAGCCGTTTCCGGCTGGGTGACGCAATTCTAGGATATCTGCATCTTCGCGTCTTAATCCCGCGCATTCAATTAATTAAGACTCCAACTTTATTCTCAAGAAATCTCCATATGTGTTTTGTTAAACTTTTACAGTGTTAATTATCCAAGTTCCCGAGTTTTTAACTCATCCGCCTGTTTTTGTACCGCTTCCACTCATTATGTCCTGGTAGGCATTGTAAAGCTAGATTAGTCTAGCGTTCTCTGATGTGGTGGTCGTCGCTCTGCTGAGTCTCGGGAGACGATATTTCTACAGGAGACGAGATTTGTCCAACTTGTGTCATCAAACTTATGTCATACAGCATACTCTGATGTGAAATTTTGCCTTTCCATCCTCGACTTGTAGAATGAATCTTTTCCTTTATTTACCTTAATACCGCCTATCACTTAGTTTGCGGCTGGTATTTTGAGGAACAAGCCTGCTGATGTTGACGATCTTGGTTGTTTCTTTTTATATTATTTATCACCTGCCTGTTCGCTCCTTCACCTGCTATAATAGGCTACATGTAACGCACAACTCATATGGCAGCTTAATAGGATCGAGATCAATACGAGACTCTCAGTACAGTCCAGCCGGTAGATCGTAGATCAATATTACATACTTTGCGCATCCTTGGCCCACATGTGGCTGACACTTCAATCACAGGCGCAGACCTTTCGTTTAGGTCGATACATTGGACATTGAACGACTGCTCGAGTACGCCACGATGGTGGCACTTGGTGTCGGCTGAGTGATAGGGTGGCCGTAAACTTGATGTCGGAAATGGAACGTTATTGAACGGCGCGGTGGCGGGCAAGTGATTGGAACTGTGAGTAGTGCGTCGTTTAAACGCATGAACTCTTACTAGCACTGAAGGAATACGTGTTGCACAGTGCACATATATTCAATCCACGCTTCATTCTTATTCGTGACGTGCCATCAATTTATAATAAAACTTCAAAGCAAGAAATAGCGAGGTTTCTTCTGAGTACCCAACCCATTGAAGAGTCGTGTCGTAGCGGCGCGGCACCGGAGATGACTACGGCACATGTGACAGGGCTGCTTTGAAGCGCTCTAGCCTGAAGCGGCCTGAAGCGCCCGCAAACAGCCCTACCTTGCACTGCACTCACAGCATCGACACGAAACTGCGTGGTTGAGGTCGGTTTCTCCTGAAGAGCAGTGATATCAGCGACCGTAGTGAATGTACAAACGGCCTTCTCGAAGCCGGCACAGTTCCCTGATTGTCGCCCTTCACAGGTGCAATGTTGGATGCCGGGGAAGTCGCAGACACCGTACTAGTTGCTGGCGCGGCTGGACTGGCTGGAGGAGCCACGAAGGCTGTAACAGACGACGGGTTGGTGTCTTCCTTCGCTCCCGGTGATGGTGTTTCCACTTGCGGTGCTGTCAGCGGCAGTGGCGGCGACAGCCCAGGCGCCGGTGTGAACCCCAGCTGCGCCTTCCGTCGTCCGCCAATCCACGGGTTGCCAGTGTAACGGCTGGTGTAGTACCTCTCCTGGGTGTTATGCCGCTCCCGGTTGTAGTGACGGTCCTGTTTCTTGCTGTTGTGACTGGATGTTTGCTGTGAGACAGGCCATACTTGCACCCGGTGCACGAGAGGCTGTCGAGACTCGTTGTGAACAGCGGCAGCGGCGGCTGTGCTAGCTCCGGGCCGGAGCTGTCCTCCAGATATTAACAGAACCACTAACAGAAACAACAATGGTAGCACAGAGACCGCCATCACTGCGGCTTCAGGAGTCCACTGAGCGTGTGTCCATCGCCCACCCCGTCCCGTCTAATCTGGAAGGAGAAAGGCGGTGGACCGTACGTGGTCGGAAAGTGCCCTGGGCGTGTCATATCGTCGTGGTCAGTTGGAGTGGGGAGCGGTGCCATATTCTAAAGAATTGGGGTGGTGTTGAGACTGGTCGTGTCATATCTGACTGGTCGCTTGTGCCGCTCTACTGTGTTTTAGGGAAGAGAATCGGTCGGCTGGGACGACTGGATAGCTGCCAGGGTCGGTTTAGCGTAAGTTTGGGCCGGCAGTGTCGAGCCAGACATTCCTTGCATCGTGGTGACCTCCCAAGGGGCCATTCTTTCCATTGAGATGTCGGGTAATGTGTTTACCTGACGCTAAATTCGTTTCAATGACGTTTGTTTTGACATTACACATGTAAACGGCAAGACAGCTTAGGCAACAATTTGTTTGGCATTCCTCACAGTGCATTACGTGCTATTCCTGTATTTAATTTGTTACATCTCAGATACGTTTGCCAGCGGGTGCTTGGCGACTGGGGTCATCGTGCTCGTTTGAGATAACCTTTCCACGCCATTAAGTTCCGTTCTTGAGAATGTCAACCGGAAGCCAAATCTTCGTTTACCGTTGCTACAATAGCTGTCAGCTGAATGTTCTCATGTCAATATAATAACTGATGTTTGAATAAGTGCGGTTTCTCTTGGTCTAGTGTGTGCGGTGAATTTCAGAGGCAGTACATGTTGGTACGTTCACACGTCTGCAGTGATGGTTCGTTTCAGGCCGGCTGTTTTCTGCCAAGACCTGTTTGTTCGCCACTTCGTCACAGTTAGTGCCACTAGCTGGACTAATAACGACTTTGAACCCTGCAGACGGGTCGGCGGGGCTTATGGAAGCTCGAACGGCGGCAGCTGGGTGATGAGTTATTAACAGCGGGTTGCCAGGCACAGTCCAGGATCGAAAATTTGATTGAGAGATGGACTGCCTCGGTTTTCGCACACAATTGTGACGGGGAGATGAGGGTCATGAGTAATTGTTATGTGTATCTAGTGGCGTGGGTTTAATTTTGAACTCTGCTGTTTACTTACGTGAAAGTATACATCTACCATCCATGACTTGTGGTGACCGTCACCGAAAACCTATAATCCATTCATGTTCCTCAATATTTATTATATTTAATCAACCTCTAGTTTTTGCCTCAAGCACCAGCAGGACGGTGCCCGTGACCTACCCCTAATAACCTGACCGTCGTCTGATAACCCCGACCATCTGCCGTCTTTCAGCTGACGAAGGTGCGCGCCCAGCTGCAGGCCGAACACCAGCAGATAGCTGGGGAGGTTCGCTCACTCACCGCAGAAATGGAGGCCGAGTGTCAGAAACGCGTCAGGGAGGAGCAGCAGAAGGCGGCGGACGCAGAGGCGGCGGTGAGTGGGGGGGGGGGGAGGAGGTGGAGAGAGTGTGAGAGGAAGGGAGGGGTGTGTTGGGGAGGAGCAGCAGAAGGCGGAAGACGCAGAGACGGCGATGAGTGAGGGAGGAGGGTGGGAGAGGATGAGGAGAGGGAAGGTCAGAGAGCAAGGGAGTAGAGGAGAGCGGAACGAGCGAAGAAGGGATGGACGGTTGTAGTGGGGGCGGGGGAGGAGTAGGGATGGAAATGATAGGTTGGTTAAAGTGAGGGCGGAGAAATTCCCTACTGTACCAAATTTGGGTGCGGAGAGTTCAGCCGTTCTCGAGATGTAGAAACGGCACCCTGCACGTTGCAGAGGCATTGGGCAGGTCATTGGTTGTTGTTTTAAATCAAGCATGCGTCACGTGTCTGTGATGTCTCTGCAAGCCGTTTGATAAACGGAAGCCGGAATCCCCAGCACGATACGGTCTCATAGCTTCACGCTGCGCAGTTGCGAACCATCCCCATCACTTAGGTGCGAATGGTTTGGTGTTGATAACGTGCCAACTCTTTCGATGTTTTATTATGTACGAGTCTCGGAACTCGTAAGTCAGTCCGCAGTAAAACATGATTACGGCTCTTGTGATGGTATAAATGACAGGTGTCAGTCGAGAAATGACACACTGATAACAATCAGAGGACAAGTTTGCCCAGGCCGGCCGACGGACAGATGACAGTTTTATGACACGTCAATGGTCCCTGGCTGAGAGACGCCGCGAACCCAACCCAGTCAGCACATTGTGAACAATGAACATAGAGAGCCAGCTGGGGTGGGACGGAGAGCTTTCTTTTCTATCCTCTATTCATTGCTTACGCCGTCACCAACAGGTCTCAGCGTCATTTGGTACGTTGACTACTGATCCCTATCGAATCGCTGCACATTTTCTGCGAAAGTCCTTGTTTTTGTTTCGATCAAATTCACCAGTCACGATACCTCGTTTTTTTTTCGTCGACAAGTCCCAGTATCTAAGCCAAGTCGCACAATGCCTCTGAAATATCGCCAGTGCATATCGGTATTGCCGACATATCCCCAACGCTCAGCTGACGGCGTGTCCCAGTACCGTGCGACAGGGTTGTGTCTGAGCCCTCAGACCGGCTCCTTTCTCGGTATTGTTTGCGTTCCATGGGTGCCGTGCTGCTGCCACTGCCATTCGCCTCTGTTGTAGTTGTGACTGGTTTTGCAGCACGGGACCGTGGCTTGACATTGTGTGCGGGGGAGGAGAGTTAACGCCAAGCAATCGTGACGCTGCTTTCTTATAAATTGGTGCACATAGATGGCGAGCATTAGTGCACGCTTTAGCACCGCGTCATAACTTTGTTCTGTTGTGGCTAAGGGGCTGGGAAAGTAGGGCATGTTGACAAAGTGTCTTGCATTTATAGCCCGGCAGCTGCACAGTGCACTTGGGTTGCCTTCTATGTAGGTCACACTTGTGTGCCATTCATGAATCTATGTACCTGATAAATGGATATTTCAGAACAGCAGAGCTCATAGACTTGTCATTAGACCACTTTTATAATTGCCTTCCCAGCTCGATACCGCTCATGCTCTACGACGGTCCTCTCACAGTAACTGTACCTATTCTGACTATTCTCTCATTACTCCAGATTCATTATACATCTAACTCATACCTCCGGCCTGTCCCCTCTGATACCACAGAGCCGGCGGTTGCGGGAGGACGTGGCCGAACTGGAGCGGAAGCTAGCCGAACTGCAGACCTCCAGCAGTCGCGCTGCGGCGGATCCCCCTCCGCCCCCCTCCTCTGTGACTGCCGAGCTGGAGAGGCGTCTGGAGGCGGCCAACAAGTCCAAACTGTACTACAAACAGCGCTGGGTGGAGACGGCGCGCGAGCTGGAGGAGCGGCGGGCCGCCGACACGCGCCGCACACGCGAGATGCTGGAGAGGGAGAAATTGGAGCTGGACAGGCTGAGGTGAGATGCAGAGAAATTGGAGCGTGATAGACTGAGGTGAGAAACGGCGATAGAAGGAGCGAGAGATAGACACAGACTGAGGTAAGATCCTCAGTCACAGATTGATGGGACATTCACTCTGATTTGACATCCAGTCATTTGTCTGAGGTGAGTCAGTTACGTGAAATTGAAGTCAGTAGACTGAGGGAGCTGTAGTCACGGAATTCTAGAGTCCGACTGGTGGAGGGTCGGGAGTAGCCTCGCTTGGAAGGGTTGAATAGCCATACGGTAGGGAGTTGGAGGGTGTGACTTTGATGCTTTGGATACTGTGGAGAGGTGGGTCAAAAGGGGTGGGACCGGTATTCAGTCGGCTGCAGTGGAGCGTGACTTCCAAACTGGACTAATGAGACCGACTGGGGGTGGTCGAGGGCCGGCCCTGCCGTGTCAGTAGGTATGAGGGCCCGACTGGACCATACATCAACAATTTGTGTTCGACCAGCGTCCTAATATTTATCAACGTGTTCAGTCGGTGGAATGCGGCGATCTGCGCAGCCAGGGTTGGCAGCTTTTCCGGGCTGACAGATTCGACAGTCGGGGAAGTGGAAGTACGCAGTATGAGTGGCGCCGGAGTGGGTGTTATGGTCTACCCCCCCCCCCCCGCCGCGCCGTCTGATCGAGTCTGTGTATCTCTCCCAACGAGTCGCCACCACCGACTAAACTGAGTCGTTCCGGCCCAGACAGGCGTAGCCGAAATGATGAAACGGCGCCGCTATTTTCACACCGCGTCGCGCCGGCCGAACGGCGCTATTTTCGCCGCAAACGCGCCGCCGATCGGCTGCCGGCTATTTCTGTGCCAAACATTGCCTGTGGCGCTGTCAGCGGCGCCGGGGCAGCGGACGGTCGACTGTTAACGGGAGCGGCATATGTCTGTTTACAGGTGTCCGTGCCACCGGCAGTGGCAAGGTGCGCCTCGAACGAGTGATGTATCGATAGGCGGCATGTGGCGCTCACTAGGAGCGGTTTATGCAGTGTTTTCAGATGCTGCTCAGGAATGACAGTAGTGATTTAGTGATCAAAATGGCTCTATTAGTAATTAGTCAACTGCTTAGTAGTTGTAGCTCCGTACTTTTCTGGATTTTTTTCAGCTTTTGACGAATGCACTTTGCCCTCAAAGGCAGTCATACAGGACTCGCTGCCTCTGCAATGCCATCAGCTGAGGTCGGCATTGCTGTCACACAAGTCCTTAAAACTACCTCTCACACAAAGTTCTCTTGCACCGTGAACTAAAAGTCGCAACAATGCCTCTGACCTTTAGTGATACGTACAATAATACCACACTAAGTTGCTGCCTGTCGATCAATCCAGTGACTCTGAGGCGACATAAGCCGCGCCATAGCGTGCTGGGTAGAGTGACTGGGCGTGTCCATATTTATGAGTGGTCAGCGCGAGCCGCTCTTTTCAGACGCTTTATGATCGATACGGTCGTCGAGATTGTATCAGAGCGGTGATTTCACGCGTCACTGGAGCGCGACATAGCCTAGTCCCCTTACGATCCCTCGGCTACCGTTTGACCCGCCCTCCCCTGTGTCTTATAATGACCGCGCTGACCCCCGTCTCCATCCTCAGGGCACAGGTGAGCGCGCGGGACGAGTTCAGCTTCCTCTCGGAGGAGCGGCGGCAGGTGGAGGAACTCCGCGGTCAGGTGCGCGCACTGACACCACGTGACCCGCCGCTCTCCGACCGACCTCTCACCCCCGGTTCGTCCACCGAGCAGCTGCGACGGCTGCGTGAGGAGCGCCGCGTTCTGCTCGATACGGGACTCTACACGGACAGCGACGCGGCGGTGCGGGAGCTGGACCGGCGCATCACTCAGCTGGCGGCGCCGGTGGCGGCTAGCTGACGTGCGGCGCGGCCGGCCGCGGCTGTCGAGTCGCAGGCCCGGCTGGAGGATGGTGGCAGGATGAGAGCCCCGGAGTCGCAGGTCCGGCCAGATGAGGGCGGCAGGACGGGCGAGACAGTGCGTCGGCAGAGGCAGGTGGTTCGTATGACGACAGTAACTGCCAGAGCCGCGGTGTGGAGGGCAGTGGAGAGACCGGAGCCAGAGTCGGAACAGCAACTCCGTTCGCGGTCCGAGTGGCAACAGCAGTTGCAGCAACGGCCGGAGTCGGAACAGCAGCTGGTCCGTTATTCAGAGTCACAGCAGTCGCCGCGCCCTTGGCCGGAGCAGCTGCTGCAATTGCAGCAGCGGGCGGAGACGCAAGATCAGTTGCTCCGGTGGCCCGAGTCACGGCAGCTGTTCCGTCGGTGTCCGGAGTCGGAGTCAGAGTCGGGGCAGTGGACGGAGCCGGACTCGGCACGAACGGAGGAAGCCCGCCTGACAGACTGGCCGTGATACCCTGATGCCGCAGGGGCCGGGCCGAGGGGAGGGACGGATCAGGGTAGGGTGGGGCGAGGAGTTCACGTTATAGAGGAACACGGGACCAGAGGCACCGAACGTTCCACTTGCGCCTATCATTTGTTGCTGTTGTTCATATCATGCATGTTGCCTGTTGCTGCATTCCGGACTGCGTGTGTGACCGGGTCAGACTCGCTCGCGTCATCGCATCAGTCATCCCATTTCCATCGTCACCCGCTCGCGGCATGCTCGTCAAATCACCAGTGTTTTACAGCCATGTCATATTCATCACCTTTGTACACAGTATGCCGATGTAACAATGTTTTAATAGTGAATAAAACGGCTGGCCCGGCGGCCGCCGCGCTCGGATCTGAATCACAATGGCTGAACACGGTGCGGTCCGACTCCACGTGAAACGATGACAGCGCCCGCGACCGGACCGCTAGACCAACCACAAAATTAGTGTATGCACTTTATTCAGAATTAAATAAAATCACTGTCTCGCGTCTAGGAATACGTACAAATACAATGGCACGCCCGGTGGCAGGCAACAATCGATAATATCGGCTGACACGCCGCCCGCCAGTCCCGCACAGCCGCTGGAACTGGGCGCGAGAGAAATGAAACGAAATCACAGGTAGCAGTGAGCTGTCAGTCGGCCGTATGTACAGATGCTCAGCGCGGGCTGGCCGGCCGCCGTCCGCCCGCGCGCAGACGCTCTCACTCGGCCTCCTCTCACTCGTGTGTTGTCCTCGTGCTCCTCTCGCTCACGTGTCTTCCTCTTCTCACTCACGTGTTGTCCTTATGTTCTCTCACTCGTGTCGTTCTAACTCTCTCACACATCTACACACAGACAGGCGCGCACCTGACAGTCTCTCCGCGTGCGCTGCGCGACCCTGGTCCGACGGTCACTTGTCGAGCGCCGAGTCGCGCGACGCTGAGTGCGAGGAGGGCAGCAGAATGGCGACCGCCTCCTGCTGGCGCCGACCTCGCACCAACATCAGTCACTTCTGGCCGCGCGACTTCCGCTTCCGCCGCCGGAAGAAGCAGCAACACCTGTAGAAAAGAAAGACACAGGGTCAGACCACTGAGACCACAGACCACCGGACCACAGACACACAGGGACCATCACACAGAGGCGACCAGGGCGCCACCGGTGACCGCGCGGCGCGGCGCACGTCATCAGTCACCGGGGCAGACAGACGGTGCCGACTTCACGCCGTCATCGGGCGGCGCTCGTCAAAGCCAGCGCGCCGCCGGCCGCATTTAGACGGCTGTATTTAGGAACTCGGCGGCAGCCCAGGCCCGGCAGGGAGGACGGTGCAGCAGTGTCACAACCGCCTGGCCGGCGATACATCTCTGAACCAGGATGTGCCACACATGAGTTATTGGACTTATGATGGTTCAGTCCCGCAACAACAGTTTTTTTTTCGCAGTCATCATTGTAACTCAAGGGGCGTTACTCGGTCCGGAGAGACGGCTAGGCCCTTGGGTGAGGTAGTGGACCACAACCGGACCACATCATTACGCTAGGTGCACCGACCTCGGCTACACGCCATCAGTCTTCGTCAGGGCGTCATCTCCAGACAGTCTATTCCGAGGGGACAAAGTCAGTGTCTGCGCCTCACAGAGTCATCATCCCTCTACAAAAACAAATGAACTAGCTCTCAGAACAACCCATCGCAAGGCGTTCGCTCTAAACGAGACGACATGGTAGCTTGTTGATTCGCCTCGCTCATCCAATGAGCCTCGATTGGGCGTGGTAGAAATCAGCGATAGCACCTCATTGACGCTGAGTGCCCATCATCGGCTCAGTAATTGGTCAATCACTGAGATTCGGAAGCGCAGCCAACCACGACCGACCACTCTCCATCACTGACTCAGTCGTATCTCGGGACTGGACGGCCACCATTGTCACCTCGGCGACCTGACACATGGCCAGGTCACCCCAGAGGCCATAAAGTCGGCGCGCACGTCCGCCGGCCGGCGGCAGCGCGCTCGTCCGACGCCAATGAGCCCGGTTGTCCCCGGGGTCGGCCGCAGCCAAGAATAACGTGCCGCCGCGCGCCCGGAGCGATTGTCGGCCCGACATTACTGGCCGCGCTGCGCCGCTGCCGCGCCGCGACATCGATTATACTTGTAAATGTTGCCAGCCGGCCGGCGCGACAGGCCATGTGTTGGCGATATGCGGCGCGATGTCGTCAGTTTGCGGCCGAGACCAGGCGGCAGCGACTGAGAGTCTGGCGAGTTGAGATGTCAGCAGGAGGGCGAGTACTCGGCAGCAGAGCGGGCAGGTCACTACAGGAGGTCAAAGTCACGTCATGAGTGTTGTCCTTGGGACGGGTTTCTGGCCAACATAAGCCGAGACAGCCTTGTAATCGACCAAGTCGCTGACCTAGCCTCAATCAATAGAGCTCGGCATTCGCGACCAACCACAGGTCCCAGGTTGTGGATCGGTTTGAACAAACGATGTCATGTTTCGGTGGCAATATAGACCGGTGCCAGGAGTTACGGGTGCCTGCCTCATCGCCTGGAGTTGACATTTGGGTACAAACGCTGGTGTACTGTAGACACTGGAATAAAACATGCTGGGGACACAACACGACCTTGGTCACGAATGCAAGGACGTGCAGTACTTGAACAATGCTTGAAACAAAACGGCCTGCAATGTGCCGTAACTTTCGAGCTCGCGCCATGAATCAGTTGCTGCTCCTATAAATTGAAGCAAAGCTTTTAATTCAACACAAATACTCCAGTCCATAGATAGGACAGCTAACTCGTCAACACAGACTTAGGAGCTTGCTTTGAAAAGACATCTTCAGCCACCGAAAACTAACGCTATGTCGGCACGCCCCTCCAGCATTCAGCTGAGCCAGTTCAGACATTCATTGATTTTGGCAGACCTCCAAACTGTGTCGCCAATAGCCGGATATCAAAGGACTTATTATAGTTCAGTCCACGGTAGGTTGCCGACAAAACAAAGCAGCCTCTGTCCCAGTAACGATGTCGAGTGAAAAACACGTCCTTTGGTCACCTTCTGAGGCACTGCAAGCCATCAGAGGGACAGCCCTGTCGGCCGCACTGCCAGGGCCTGTCACGAAAAACCGCTCAAGGACGGGTGTTGCGCACGCTACGCTCCGTTAATGAATAATGTAACACTGGTAGACCGCCGCTGGCAAAACGCTACTGAACAATACACGCGGATGGGCCGGCACTCCTGCAAAGTTGATATGGGCGGTATTTTCGCTTCATCGAACTGATTGTCCAGACGCTTGGCTCCCTGATGCACGTCGTGCTGACCGTCTCAATTAACCGGCAAACATCACTCGTGTCCAGATGCATTGTGTTTTGATTACCAAAACTGACCGCCATGGCTTTAGGATCGTAAGGACCATGGTCCAGTTGCCGAGCAATTTATAGCACCTGGAAAACATGTCTCATGTTAACAATAAGGGCGCTCAGTTCACTTAGGTGTAAACTAAGCGTAATTAGACGAAGCTGTCTTTGGAGCTGCTTGTTGTAGGTACATTGTTAGGGGATAAATATACGAAAGCGAAATATAAAATTGTATTTAAAAAAGTGGAAATATGTAGGCTAAATTTAATCGTACGCTTACAAGGCCTTGGGCTTACATCAACGCAACGCCCCTCCTCCCCCCCCCCCCCACACCTTCCCTGTGCCCCGGGAGCGATACATACACGTACTTGGTCTCGTCGACGACGTCAACGTCCGGCTGCACGGCGATCGGAGTCTGGCTCTGGCCGGCCGTTGGGTCATCGGCACCCAGCTCACCGTTTGTGGAACTCATCACCTGCGCGAGGGGGGGGGGAGGGTCAGAGGGGCAACATGCGGGGGAGGGGAGGGTGGGGTACTGCAGGGGGAGTATGCGTGGAAACTACTCCATCAAGAACATTCATTATTGGGGTTTCATTATGGGTTGCATTATTTAACGGTAGCGTCATTTTATATCAGTAATCAGTATGCATTATTTAACTAGCACACCGACTACAGTGCTGTAGAATTACTCCTTCTGCGAAAAACAGAAACGCAAAGGAAGGACTTGCTGAACTTGCAACGTTACATAACTAGTTTCTAGACAACTGACGGAGTTTGCTAGAACAAACACCAGTTCGCGTAGGAAATTCACAGGAAACGCTGCATGGACTAATCCAACAAGTAACTCATTAAGATAGGAGCGCACAAAAATCCCACGGGTGCAGTAACAGCCGCAAAGAATACAAGCAAGCCTGAACAGAAGGAGTTGCATCGTCTGCTGAGACATTCGGAACCACCCCTTCCCCAAGGCGTCCGACATTACTGCCCAGGGCACATCGTGCGGTGCTGTGTCTAGATCAGCCCTGAAGCAAGCTGGGCCCATGCGGCGCACCTGATGGTGGTCGAATGCTCTGCGCCTGATCTCTGAACCTAGAGAATGGCAGGAGCTAGACGAGGGTAAGAAAGAAGGGGAAGAGAAGAGAAGATGGAGATGGAAAGGAAAAGGCGAAGTAAGAGAAGGGCGAAGAAGCAGGGACCTTTATTTGTGGAAAAGCAAAAAGATGCGGCTACTAAGGGTGAATAAATGAAGGAATTCTTTTCATTCCAACAGAGGAAAGAGAAAGAAAGGAGGCTGATGATGGTTAAACAACGGAAACGCATCAGGGTGCGGACACTGGCCAGACAGGCCGAGGAGTGCAGATCAGGAAAGCGCAGATCCGGATCATGCGGCTGGCACCGGTCCCGCTCCGCTGCCGAAGACCAGTCTCCCTGTACTCGCCTGTACGGAGCCGTGCCGGTCAGCCGGCGTCAGCATACCGGCCAGCATGTTACTGGAGGCCCGGTGAGAGTCGGGCCACGCAGCCGCCGTCGTCTTAGCGCCCTGCAAGAGACGCGCGCGCCCGGTCAGCACCCCGACCAGCCAGCCATGCTCCTCCAGCCGACTACCGCGCAAACTAGCTAAAACTCGAACAAAACGGCCCAAACTAGGCACGGGGAGGGGCGGCACGCCTAGCAGCAGATGGCGAGTGACTGAGCGGGACGAGCGGGTCGCGGGGGCACCCGGGGGTCATGCTGGCCTAGGGAGGGGGCGGTGGCCGCTCAGCACCCTTTACCTTGTTGGTGGTGAGGTGCCGCTCTCGGTTCGGAGACAAGATCGGCTCCGTGTTGGCCGGCAGCGTGCTCACTGGTGTTGACTGAAAACGGAAACAGAGATACGTTGAGGTCCCGTGTGCATCATATGCCAATTAACTGACACACATCAGTAGGAAATGCGCCAGGCAATGTCCCCAATACTGCACGGGCGACGAGGCCGCCGGGGAAACTCCAGATCTAATGTGCCGAAATCAGCGAAATGCCAGCTCTGACACTATTAATGAACTCGACGCCACGCTACAAACACGCAAGGCTGGAGACATCGCGGTAACTAACGACATCGCTGCGCCAATTAGCTTGTCATTTGGGGCTGCTATGAGCAGCCCGGGTTCACTATCGCAGCTCGTCGACTGATTAGCTGTTGAATCAATTCATAATGTAGTGGTACGCTGATCAGGCGTTTGTTAGTTGGTTCTGATAAGGCGTCGGCATCTACATAACAGAACGGCCAGCGAGCACACTATGGAAGCAAGTGTCTCCTTTCCTATTCAGGCGGGCATTGGAGAAACACTTTTCTATCCACATCACAAACATACGCTAAGACAGAGCACTGAAAAAATAGTGACGTTGTCACTGTGCCGCTCAGTTCACTAACTTCACCTCACCACCCCACCGAGCTGCGAGAAACCTTTACGAGGGCAGGAGGCTGTGCTAGCGTGAAGCTTCGGCTCATCCCCGCAGTGATCCCCATTCGTTCCAGTTACATGGGAGCTGAGCCGGTGTATACCGGTTTGTCGCCAGTAGGCGGAGACAGAACAGTAACGATCGACCCGGCGCTGCGGAGCGGGGGGCGAACGCGAGCGGACAAGGTGAACACGAAATAGACCAAGTAAAGTACAAAAATAAAATCACCGATGTTTTCCAGCCTCCTGATAAACAAACCTCTCCATCTGTGATCACAGACAGCTTCAAATTTATCTCCTACATCAACTTTACTAGCATTTCCTACACATTTCGTTCGAAAAGGTGCACGGTTGCCAATCAGAGCGAAACACAACAATTGATGCGGGTCAAGTGACAGCAGAACAATAAATAATAATAAAAAACATGCTGGTGAGCTGAAAGCTTGTCCAAATATATCCACTCAGGAACAATATCGGAGTCACATTACCGTCCTAACATCATCCCATAACGCCCACAGGCAGATCGCATCATCGCCAACAGAGGTTCCGGGAACCATCCCGTGGACAGGAAACAAAACCGATAACGGCAACAATCAGCAGGCGGTGATTGGCTCCGGCCGTTGTCATGACAACTAGAGATCGCGTCCCGACACCACCCAAGCCGGTCCATCTGTATTTAGGGCCTTGGGTCCATCTTCAGAGTATGGACAAAAATAGTCGGGTCTTCTACTTCCCTGACTGGGCATTCGTCCTCAACTCCAATGTTTTCATCTGCGCCTAGAAGAGCTGAGTTTCTTCGACTCGCTCTGTAAGCCTGAGGGGCCAACCGCTCAGATAAGGACAGGATTCCGTCTAAGATGGCTACCACCAGACATGTGCTTGGATCCGAGAGCTGGATCTATGATCTCAGTGGATCTCTCGACAAAATAGAGGGGTTGGATCTATGATCCGAGTGGATCTCTCGACAAAATTCAGGGGTTGGATCTATGATCTGAATGGATCTCTCGACAAAATTTAGGGGTCGGATCTATGATCTCTGTGGATCCAGCGGGCTAAAATTTGTGGAGGACCTATGATCTGTATGGATCTCACGACAACATGTAGCCAATGAAACCCTTATCCTACATAATTGTACACCTTACAGTGCAATACAATTGAGAATTATCACTTGTGGACATGGTTATTGGTTAAGACCACTTGTGATCATTAGGTATCATCATTAAATTTGAATTTAAATAAACAACATTTGTACTACATTTAAAATAAACCAAGAACATGCATATTGCTACTTTTTGTGACCAATTGTAACTTTTTCATGACAGCACTGATGACAATCTTATCAACAAGCTACAGCCACTTTAATTCAAAGAACAAACAGTACAGACAGATGCAGTGGCAGCCGGGCACTGCAGATTTTCATTTTGGTCCCATTCTTTCTGCAACGCCAGTAGGGCTAATGCTAAAATGCCAAACTCTATGGGGGGCACTGTACTCTGGTGCCACCCCCCCCCCCTGTTCTGCCGCCTATGGACAGATGTTAGGAAATCAAACCTGGAAGCCAAATAGGTCAGTTTTGTTAAAAATAATCCAGCAATCCACTTCTGCCAGGTATGAAATCCCAATCCAGAATGTTCATATGAGCTATTAGTATGTCCAACACAATTTCGATTTAGTAAGAATAGCAACCAACCTCTAATACTTTCCTAATAAAATTACAAGTTCAAAAATGGCATCAACTTCTTCAGATTACCTACTTTTGGCCACTTTTGGCATCCTGCCAGCTGCCACGTGTGGTGCCATGCTGTGCTTTTGTTATGAGAGAGCCTCCCAAAAAAAGACAAACGAAATTCACAGCTCACGTTTTGGTAATATGGTTTTATTACGTCATTATCGTTTGACCAATGAAAAATCTTAATTTGACCAAGACCGTAATGATTCCAAAAGATTCCCCGTAATAGGCCCTCTAAACTAATGACGTAAGATATTGTTATTCTTTTGAAAAGTGAATAAAATTAAGATGCTAGGCGCACACCGCTCAGGGCCATATAATACCGTTTCAGCTTACGTTTACGTCATTAAATTCAACGCTACAAAGATGATATTCACAAACAATCGTATCGTAAAATCATGTGAGGCAGAAAAAATGAACATTCTTTAAAAAAAGCTCCAGACTTTTGAATTTCCAGTTTGATTTTTTATTTATTTTCATTATACTCGAAGGTAGAACGCCTAGCTCATTTGTTATTTGAAATGACGTCACGAGTTCAATTTAGATACTGAATAATCATTTTACGGTAAATATCCAAGGACATTACAATTGATATTTCGCTTCCCATCGCTTCCGCAGGCTGTTGAATATTTTTATACTTTTGTTTATATCTCAGTTTATTTTATCAAATATTTCTTTCAATAGATTGAAATACCTTTACCTAACCAAGCCACATGTGTCAGTATCATCTTTTATTGTTTATCAATCAATTGTGGTAGCCAGATTTAAAGTGCCGAATGTCACAATATATGATAGTGCTCTCAAGGTTATGTGGATTAAAAGAGCTGTAATGAAGAGCGATGTATTTTGGAACATACTTCTGAGTTCAGGGGAACTTAGGCTCAAAGAAATGTTATGTACGGGCGATAGTAGTGCAAAATACTTTTTAAGCAGATCAAGAGATACCTGGGCAAGGAACTTATTTTGGCGAGATGTCTATCAATGTTGGGATGTTTTCAAGGCAAGTTGCGGACTTTTTGACACGGACGTTGATCCGATTCACCTAGGTACCAAGCTGTTAATTGGCGGTTCCCCATTCTGGAATAGAGCTTTATTTGAGGCCGGATGCAGGCAGGTTAAAGATCTTTACCGATCAGACGGTACTTTAAAAAGCTTCGAAGAGTTAAACCTTGAATTTCAGATCCCCTTCAGTCGGACAGTGTTGCAGGGTTTGATTAGGGCGGTACGGCGAACGTACGGGGTTCGTATAGAAGTACGAGAGTTATTAGGGCCGGAACGACCAAAAGCTCTGGAATGCTTGTTCAACGTAGGGGGAAACCGATCAGTTTACAGGTTGTTAATTGCCCACCAGTACCCCGCTTCTTCCGAACTCACTAACGCTGAAGTAAAGTGGAACAGAGACCTTAATGTTGAGATAGAGTGGTCGACAGTATATTGGAGACACAGAAACTACACAAGAAATAAAAAGATAATTTGGTTCCAAGACAGGCTTCTGCACCGAATACTAACAACCAATTTGTTTATTTCCAAATTCACAGATGCAAATCCGAGCTGCACTTTTTGCAAAAATTTCAACGAGACGTTGCTTCATTTGTTTTGCCACTGCAGTACCGTTGTTAGACTCTGGTCTGAGGTAGAACGCGCAGCCGTAAGGTCGGGACTTTCAATTAACCTCGAGGATCAAAACATCATATTGAACGAAGATCTCGCTAGAGGTAACCTCTCTGATCTTCGGAAGAACTTGTTATGCCAGATAGTACTGCTCTTTAAATTTTATATATACCGTACTAAGGTCGCCTCCAGTAAACTGAGCTTTAAGCCGGCGTGTGCATATGTGAAGACTGTGGTAATTGCTGATCGCCCCACATTGGACCATGAGAGCTCGAACAACATGGCGCGCATTGACCAGGCATATCGCTGGGCTATTGATATGCTGGATCAGTGGATAGGCCAGAGTGGATAGGATAGTGGATAGGATAGGTTTAAGGTGTCGTCTCACAAAATGGATTGCTGGCTTAGCCATATGTACTGATGTGGTGTCGGTGTGTTGTATGTTTACGCTACATATGTTCCGATAGCAGATACGCGAAGAACTACGGCCTTCGCCCCTTTGCCCCATCGCGCCGATCCGAGACCCCCGTCGTATGTTGCGGGGCCCGTCGGTCGGTCGGTCCGGTCCGCGGGGCGCTGGTCCGAGCACCGCGTTCGTGTTGTGTGTTGTGTATTTCTTGTGTGTGTGTTAATAAAAACTCGGCATGAAAAAAAAAAATCAATTGTGGTAGCTGGAAACTGGAAAGCCTCATGGTTGTCTAATGCAAGATCAATGAGATTGTCTTATCAATATCATTATGTAGATTCTAACATGAATTGTGATGTGGTAGGTACCTAGTTATGTATTGTTCATTAGTCATTACTTTGACTTACCTCTATGTTAATTGTTAATGCAAACTTTTCTGTTGGTATGTGAACTGTGAACAATCTTCATGTCACTCAATTCTCTCAAGTTGTGACCGTCATGAGCCTCCTTTATTTTGTATTCTGTATAATGTAACTGGATGCCTTTACTAATATGGTCTTTGTATAAGATTGTTTGTTTCTAACCATACTTTGGTATTCATAACTTCTTATGAAAGAAAGTTGTTAACATTTTGAGCACCTATGTATGAGCTATGATCCCAACGGATCTCACGACAAAATTGGGGAGCCAGATCTATGATCCGAGTGGATCTAGCGACAAAATTGAAGGGTCAGATCTATGATCCCAGTAGATCTCTCGACAAAATTGAGGGGTTGGATCTATGATCTGAATGGATCTCGGATCGGGATCCATGGGATCGGATCTCAGATCCATTTTTCCGGATCCAAGCACATGTCTGGCTACCACGACAAAACATCATCTGGGCCTCGTTTCATAAAAGGAATTACTTACGGCGTTCCGTCAATTATGCCAGATTTGGCGTATTTGATGCCAATTCGGTTTCATAAAGCCGGAGACCGGAGTAATTCACGCCATCGAAATTACGGAGCCTCATTTACGGCAAATGCTCGAATCCGGACCAATTGATGCCATTTGGGTTTCATAAAACGACGTAATTAACGCCAAATATTTCACCAAGTTCTTGATATCAGTGGTGTAAACTACGCACAAAAATGTTGCGTGAATTTGAATTAATGTGAAGATTCGAAGCTAATTTTTAATATATTTTATAATGTTGAGCCCGGTGAGGAAGAAAGAACAGCCAAAATGAGAAAAAGAAACTGCAAATCTTCTGTACCAGTCGCTTTTTGTGGCAGCTATCGGAATTTTGTTTATTCGCCGCGCCGCGCCACTTTCGTAGTAAGGCACTTCTGCTTAGCTGGCTTTCTGCTGTTTTCAATATATTGATTTAACAAAGGATGGTCATCAATATCAATTTTGTTTTTTCATAAATAATTTTTAAGATAAAAATTAAACATAATTGTTTTATAATTTCTCGTAAAAAATAAGTGTTGACACGAAATTGTAATTTGTAGGACGCTTGATAAATTACGGCAACTACGCAAATGTGCTTAGTTACGGAGGTGTAAACAATTCCAGTTGTGGCTTTGTGAAACCGCTTCATTTGCGCTCCGTAGTTTGAAAGGGTGTGAATTACGGAAAGGTGTAAGTTACGGCAGAGTTTTATGAAACGAGGCCCTGGAGGCAGCAGCACCGTCCCAGTGATCAAATGTGTAAAGGCATGGGCGCCGAAATTCAAACGCAAGACCCGGCTGTATCAGCCAGACCCGGATGAAGTGACGCAGCAAACTGTGAGATGGCCATCAGCAATGGGTACCTACTGCCAGCCGCGACCTGAACCGGAGCAGCATTCATATGACACCAGCTGTCCCGTCCTGTCAGACCTACCCACAGTTACACAAATAGCTGCCAGCCGCTACATGATGACAAAGCTCCACAATATGAACTCAACCATTCCCGACACCAGCCCTTCATCACGACTGGGTCACGAAGTTCACCCGTGCCCACACCTCGGACAGGCTGACTGGGTGGATATTTGATATGCTCCACCCGACGATCAAAGGTGCTGCCCGGTGGAGACTGTGTTTGCCTGTCACCTGTCACTGCTGAGACCGGATATTGCCACTCAAACGGTCACCTCAGTACACAGCTCTCGGATATATCAGTACACAAATCCAGCGGTGCTAACAACTGATCAACGGCCACCTGAACAAACAGTGAGAGCCACTGATTCGCCATACATAACTAGGACCGTACACAAATAGAACTGCGGTGCATTTAGGCTGGAAACACAGCAGTGTTTACCTCGTGAAATAAATCAACACCATAAGCAACACCTTAGTATGTTGAGCCTTTCTCAGTAGCACACCACTGGATGAACCACACAATGACTACCAGTACTCCACCACCTTACAGCAGCACTGCCATGGCCGTTCTGAAACAAATAAAAAAATACAAATATACCCCCCCCCCCCGTATGTCACCGAGGACTAAAACTCACCGCCGTGCGTCCCGTCCAGTCGAACTCCTCAAACTACCCCGCTGTCTACCATAGACAGATACCAAACCACCTCCTGTGTCCCGCCCGTACTCACCGCGGTGCGTCCCGTCCAGTCGAACTCCTCGTCTGCCACGTATCCCTTGCGGTCGAACAGGTCCTGGAACAGCTTCCTCAGGTAGTCGTAGTCGGGCACCTCGAAGAAGTCCAACCGCCGCACGTAGCGCAGGTAGGTGGCCATCTCCTCTGTGGACAGGTGAGGACACTTGTTAGAACGCAGGGGCAGGCACACAGTGGGGACGAAATTAACACATATATCGAGGAGAAAGTACATTAGTTCGCAACTTATTTTGCACAAGTGTTTTAAATTGAAAAACAGCCAGCCATCCGTAGAGTGAGACGATCAACTGTGCGAGGGCGAAACGTTTGAGCGTATCTTTGATCTGAGTGAAAAGGCTTCTCGAGTGTATGATGCTTTGACGTTCGAAGAATCGAACGTTAACAAACTGAGCTGAAAGGGACAAACCGAAAATCAACGTGTGATGAGTACTTGAATTTCCACCCGAAGATACTTGATGAACTTCTTCAACTAATGTAAAAGTTTGAGGACAAAGTCCCGCCCCTGACACATAGACGTAGGCGGGAGGACACGCTCGCCGGAAGGGAGGAGCGCTCTACATTGTTTATTCAGCGGGTCACGCTCCTGTCTGAAATATGAGCGTTTGCATGATGTACGACACTGGGCGACGGTCGTGAGCAACAGCCGTGGCGAGAGCGACATCCATCACGCCCGAAACAGGGCTGAAGTCACGGCCGGCGTCGGCGAAAATAACACAACACAGATGACGCGGTCAACGGTGGACGCAGAGGGTAGAAACAAGAGCAAATATTGCAAATTTGTGGGGCATGAGGTGGTTGCGAAAAGGAAAAAAAAGTATCATTCACTTTTTACCAGCATTAGACCTGCCCATGAAAGCAGCGATAAACTCTTCTGAAAGAAAACATTTTTGACGTTGTTTTTATTTCAATTCTGATTGAAATCAATTGCATGTACCAAATTCGTATAAAGTGCACCTATTTATTTTAATGTCTAATGTACCATTGGTCACTGAAGTCCTCAAGCAGTCAATCACATAATGTGTTCACGTATGGAACACTTTCAATTCTGTATCCGTACGAAAATCACTCTCAGCCTGTATCGACTCCTCATTCAGCGCCTGGCGCCCGGTTCGTTTTGCATGCATTACGGCCGGGCGGTGAGGCCATCCATCTGTGCCGACCGCCATCCGACCCGCGGCGGCCCAGCGAGCCTGTTCCCGGACGGCTAACTCAATCACGGCCGCCTAATGTGACAAACACGGTATCGTCGCGCCGCTGACAAACTAGCGACCATCGGGAGACACCGGGAACAGACGACGTACGGGGAGAAATGAAGGACGGACAATATGTGAAATTGAAGTTTGGAGTGCAGAGAAGAGCCATCTAGGCACCGCCTATAAAAAAATCCAT